CATTTTCCAGGGAAGAAGTGTAGAAGTGTGCTGAATTGTATTACAATGTATATGCATACATTTTCAGCATCTGTGGCAGAAGGAGGCCAGGATATTTACAATTGCAACAGTGTGGCTTTTCAGAATCCCTGCCATCTGAAGACATTTATATTATTTGCATACAGCCCCATAATGCACTGGAATTCACAGGAGTCTATTCCACACTGAGAAACATACATATATATTTTGATGGAAATTACTGTTCTTCATAGTGGCTAGAAGTTACTAGACATAGACAATACCAAGCTATATTTTGTTTTCTTTTCTTTATTCTTTCAGTTCTACAGCTCACATCCTCTTTGTGCTCATGAAGGACTATGATCAGTTTGGTCATTTTTTTTGGCTGTGGAGTGATCTATCTCCATAACAGGTAAAAAGTCTCCATTAATTACAGAGCTGTTTAGAGTGGATCTGTAATAAAATGTTGAAGCAATTTTTCTTCTTCAGCTTTAATCTTCTGAAAACATTACACTTAAAATCCCTACTTTTCCACAGAAATAAAAGGTAAATATTATTGTTATTGTTTTAAAATGTAATTTTGTGCCCTTCCACAAAAAACAAACAAACAAACAAACAAAAAACAAAACCAAAACAACAAAAATGCCACCCAAAAACACCCACTCACCTAATCAACAAAAATCAGTATGGCTTTATTGATATGGTTCCTTAAAACAGTTTCAGTTAGGAATAGAGAAACTTTATATCACAGAATCATAGAATCACCAAGTTGGGAACAGCCCTCTAACATCATCCAACCATTCACCTATCACCAATGTTTCCCACTAAACCATGTCACTCAGTACAACACCTAAATGTTTGTTGAACACTCCCAGGGATGGTGAGTCCACCACCTCCCTGGGCAGCTCATTCCATCCCCTGACCACTCTCTCAGAGAAGTGGTATTTCTTAACGTCCAATCTGAATCTCCCCTGGCACAACTTGAGGCCATTCCCTCTAGTCCTATCGCTAGTTACACAGGAGAAGAGGCTGAACCCCACCTTGCCAACCTCCCTTCCAGTAGCTGTAGAAAGCAATAAGATCACCTCTCAGCCTTCACTTGTCCAGACTAAACAACCCCAGCTTCCTCAGCCACTCCTCATGAGACTTGTGTTTCAGACCCCTCACAGCTTCACTGCCCTTTCCTGAACGTGCTTCAAGGTCTCAATGTATTTCCTGTAGTGAGGGGCTCAAAACTGAGTACAGTACTCAAGGTGCAGCCTCACCAGTGCTGAATACAGAGAGATGATCACTTCCCTGCTCTTGATGACAATTCTATTTCTGATAGAAGCCAGGATTCCACTGGCCTTCTTGGACATCTGGGCACACTGCTGGCTTATGTTCAGCTGAGTGTTGACGAACATCCCCCAAGTTTATTTCCTCTAATGCCACTCTTCCAGCTACTCTGCTCCAAGCCTGTAGTGTTGCATGGGGTTGCTGCTGACAAAGTGCAGGAGCTAGTCTGCAAGAAAAGAAGTATGTAAGAAAGTAAAATATTTTCATCTGAAAGATTAAACAAAAGGAGGAAACAATCAGTAAGATATAGGAAAGCTGACTCTGATGACCAGTTTGCTTGCAAGATGTTTTATTGAACTCCACATGAACAATACAAGAGGTTATGTGAAGAAAATTGACAGTAAATAGGTTTAGAGATAGAAGTCAGGAAATTTTCTCAAGAGAGATAAGTGCAAGGAGAAGAGTTTCTCACACTTTTCGATGTATATAAGCTAATAAAAATATCAGAACTACTGCACTTGCATACATCAAATTCTTGCATTCATTGAATCACGCAATTGTTATTTATAAGGTACATATTGTACTACGTGACATGATGCCAAGGAGTGAAAAGTCTTGATATTTCTGCAGTGATTCTCTGAGAAAAGCCTAATATTTAAATTATGTGGCTTCTGGTTTTTCACGGATATCAGACTCAAACGATAATTGAAAAATCTCTGCCAAAAAGCATTCCTAAAAGTATGTATACAGCACCATCTATTGACACTATGAGGCCTTACAGGTGAATATTTTAGGCACGCTGAAGGCCTGTTTTACAAAAGTGACATAGTTTCCTCATTTGCATGGAATGATTCCCAGTTTTTTCCTATGGTCCTATAGACTCAGAACAATGGTGGTGATCCTTGATGCAAGAGTTTAACAGCTAAAAATGAAGCTGAATAAAACAGGGCAGTAGGGAGGAAAAATGAAGGAAAAAAAAAAACAGGAAAAATGATATATACAAGGAGTAGCTGAGTAGAGACAGTGCATGTCTGGGAGCAAATGTGAGATGTTCTTAGTAAAGGAAATTTTTGTTCTTAGTAAAGGAAATCATTCCTGAGAACCCTGAGACTTCACTCTCTTCTGGCTTCAGACTCCTGCATCCTCCTTTGGGCCAGCTAAGCAGCTTATGAGTCAGTGCATCTTACCTACCAAAACAACTTTCTCTTCCTTTAGCCTGTGTCATTTTTCTGCTAGTTAGACTGGTCAAGCAGAGGAAGGGCCTGACTGAGATGAGAGCTGCTGCAAAGCTCCAAGGAGTATGGAGAGGGAAGGGAGGAACATGATGTTACTAAAGGGCTGTCAGATTACCTTGGCTATACTGTAATTTTACTCTTCCTGGGCTATATTTTGTTCATTGACCTGGTTTACTATTGCTCTGTAGACATATAGCAGTGTGTGCAAACAGGCAAGATGTAAATTCCCCAGGTGGGGTGAGCTGTCAGAGGAAACATAATGTGATCCTACAGCCTCAGTGAAGGAGTATTGAACTGGGCCTTAACAGCAGAGCACTGAGAAGATGTAGTGTTCATCTCTAGTCTGCTAGCCCAGTAACTAGGATGTCCCCATGGCAGATGGAGACTTGCATTCAGCTCTTAGTTCCAGTTCTGCTAAATGATCCAACATCACTCATTTTTAACGTTATGCACACTGACCTTTCCAGATTTCACTGTGTCCTAAGAGCTGTAGATCTTTGTAGACATAGCAACTTTTCTCCTGCCAAGAGGATGCCACAGATCAGGCAGAGGAAAAGGAGATTGTGGCCCAACAAGCAAGCAGCAAGCATTGTGGTGTGAGCGGGGAGGAGCATGGGACACAGGCAGAGCAAGATAGGGAATGGGGATCAGTGCAGCACAAAACATTGGTATCATGGGTAAGATTTCTGCTTCAGAGTTTAGGTGTCATTTTGTACTGAATACTTTCAAAGCCACAGTACTCCTGCTGTTTTGGGATATGGCTTTTATTAGCTTCTGTGCCATCCGAGAACCATCTGAACTGTTTCCAGAGCTAGACTGCAAAGGCATATAGCTTTTTTTTTATTATTATTTATTTATTTATTTATTTATTTTTGGTAGATGCTGCTAAGATGGTCATCCTGCTGAACTCATACCAGTCACTACGGATTCCTCAGCAATATGAACAAAGGAGTTGTCTTTTTTATTATTTGTAAAGCCTTTTCACAATTCTTTGACTGGAGCACTTTGGTTATACAATAATATATTAACAATTTAAAGAAATAAGGTAATTCTGTCACTGCACTAAGTTTTTCCAGAAGGTTAGATCATTGTTAAGTGGAGTGGTAGCATGGCACTGAGCACAGACTGTGCACAGAACAGGATGTTGTTGTGTGCAGGTAAACCTGCATAGATCAGCTTTCTGCGTAACTCTGGCTTTACCTTTTCAGCATGACCAGACTGGTATTTAAATAGAGATCACATACTGTTTCTCAGATTCCAGTAAAATGTTTTTAATTCTTTCAACCTGAGTAGTCAGCACTTTGGGTAACACTGCACATGCCTGTATCAACACAAAAATTGATGGAGCACATGAAAACTGTTTGAAGAATTCTGAATCACACCCAAGAAGCATCATAAAAGCATGGTAAAAGCATGGCAAGAGGCCTTTCCCCACACACTAAGAGAATTTCCTTTTTTCAAATTCTAGGCACATTTCTAAGTCCTGTGGAATGGCTGCAGGAATAGGATTCCTGCAGGTGTAGTTTCCTGATCGGCTCAGGCCCACCTGATCCTGCGGTGCTGCTGGAGGTGATGGCCCCGTTCCGTTAGTGCTCATGTAGGTGTGGACTTGGCCGCATTGCAGAGTCAGCTAGGATAGAAAGCAGCCACTTGCTGCCAGGTTAATTTGCAGATGGATCAATTCCCTCATCTGCCTGCATACCCAGGGGTTGCTAACGTCCATACTTGCCACCATCTCTCAGCAACCGCACAGGCTTGGATCAGTTTATGCTGATCGTAAAGCCCCACCCTGAGGCTGTTTCTTTGCTGTTCTGGCTGATTCACCCACAAAGACAGCCCAGCCTTGGAGCCCTGCACTCAGCAGCCCTTTTCCTTGCACTGTTTGATTCCGGTGTTTTCCACAGTCATTCAACGAAGGGGCATTTATCAGTTCCGTTTCTTCATCTGAAAGAAAGGTAGCCGCCAGCCATACAACTGCCTGTAAACCAGAATAATGAACCGCTTTAATTCTAGCGCAGCATAATTGCACTATCATTTTCACATGTGCTCCCAGAAAGGTATGGTGCTGTGGAAGCCCATCTCTTGTGGAAATTATGGCTACTGATGAAGGTCAGGGATGAGGCAGATAGTGCTGCCTGCTTCCAGAGATTTTGCTGCCTCTCTCCCTGCACGTCCTTCTGAATTCTGCATGCGTGAACAAAGCCACGCTGCCATCAGCAAACCAAGCACAGGAAGCAGCGTGTGGAAGGGAGCTCGGCCAGCAACGCGTCAACCAGAGAGGAGAAAGGCGAAGGCACTGCGACAGGCCGCCGACGCTCTGCCTGCGGACCCCAGATCCCACCACGGGCCTGCCGCCCCCACCTCCACACCGCCTGCACGGCAAAGGGGGAGGGGCCGGCGGGGAGCGAGCCGCCCGCACCCACCGCTCCCTCGCGAGAGGCGCCGCCGCCCCGCCCCCGCGCGCAGCCCCGCCTCGCCGCTGGGCTGCGGGCGGCCTGGCGGGGAGGGCCGGCGGCGGGAGCGCGGCGAGCAGCCATGATGGTGGGTGCCCGGGCGGCCGGGGCGGGGGTAGGGGCTGGGCGGGCGCCTTCGGCCGGTCGCTAACCTGTGCGCTTTGTCTCTCCCCCATCCTGCCTTCCTCCCTCTCGCCGGCCTTGGCCCGCGCTTGTCCTCGGCTCGCGCCGCCGCCTTCTCCTCTTTGCGCCCAGCAGGAAGGCTCTGACGACGGCCCAGATTTCCTCTCGGAGGAGGATCGAGGTGTGAGTAACGCGGGGTGGCACTCGGGGAGCGGGGGCGGGTTTGGCCTCCGTGCGGCGGGGTCGAGGCCTGGGGCTGGGGCGGTCCCGGAGGAAGGCTTCCCCCGGGCGGGGTCCCCCGTGCGGGTGATTTGCTGTGATTTGCCCTTGCTGCGGTCCCCGCGTTTCCAGGGGCAGCTGCTGGGGGCTTTTGTTGGTGAGCCGGGGCAGATCCGTGCGTGCCGCCGGGGCCGCGCTCGCTGTGCCTCCCCGCCCCCGCGCGGAGCCGGGCAGCGGGTCTGGGGTGTGCGGCCCTGCGTGGGGAGCCACCGCAGCACCCTTTGCTCTCCTCAGGCCCCAGGGGTTCCCGTTCCCGTGGATAACAAAGGGACAGCATTGTAGGCTGCCATTGCCTAGTAAGCTCCTTATTGAACAGAAGTTCTGTTGTTGGGAGTGGATGCCACGGTGATGTTCCTTACTGAGAAAACACTTCTCTGACCTGCTCTTCTGGCCTCTGTTTGTCTTCTCACTATATCTGCTGCGTTCATCTTTAACTTCCATGTCTTGGTTAAGCAACAAATAGGCTAATCTGGTGTGGTTCATTCAGGCTGACCTATCAGGTGGTATCTTGAGAAGGACTGGGTGAGATAGGAGAGCAGCTGCTGGACAGGATGGCAGGGATTGTCTTGGTTGCTGCTGCTCGTTACAGGAGCTGTGTCTACTACATTGCTAAAGACACCAAATGTGAACAACTCTGTATTGGCATACACTCGTATCATGTATGTCATACTCAAACATCAAGTGTAATGTTCAGTACCTTCTGATTTTTTGACTGTAAGTGTGTGGTAGGAATTAACTGTATTCTGCATATTCTTATATATAGGCAGATAATGTTAGAGCAAGGGGGAGATGCTTTAAACTGAAAAAGGGAAGATTTAGGTTAGATGCTAGGAGGAAATTTTTCACTCAGAGTAGTCAGGCATTGGCAGAGGCTGCCCAGAAAATCTGTGGGTGCCCCATCCCTGGAGGTGCTCAAGGCCAGGCTGACTGGGGCCATGAGCAGCCTGAACTGGTGGGGAGCAGCCTTGTCCATGGCAGTTGTTGGAGCTGGGTGGATTTTGAGGTGCCTTGCAACCCAGACCATTCTGTGTTCCAGTTCTTCAGCCCTAGGTTGGAGGGGGTTTGAATAATATTCCACATGTGTTTTCTTTGGCAATTAGGAACAGCACTGAAGTGAATGATTAGGTTGTTTTTTGTCTGAGGATGTAGATAGAATGTGTAAAACTTTCTTGATTGTGTTTTAATTTTCCCTTTGAGGCCCCAAGTAGTCAGAGTTCACAACGTAATTTTAAAGCCATTAGAAATCTCTTAGCAGTCTTGTTTGTGCTGTTGGACAACTTACATCATTTCAGTAGGCCAAGCACAGTCCTCTTTTTCTTTCTTTCCCTTCCTCTCACTCTAGCATCAAACACTGAGGAATTAAGCAGTGTCCTCTGTTCTCCAGTTTTGGTTTCTTATTTTTAGTCGTGCTTTTTTTTTTTTTTTTTTTTTTTTTTTTCTTTCCTTCACACTGCTCTGAAAATCCCTGAGTTTAAAGCATAGGCTGTTATCTGCGTTATTTTGATCGTGATACAGAAAACCTAATCGGAAGCAGCACTAGCAGTCTGTTCATGAATAGGTTTGTTGTGCTCTTATCTTCAAAGCCCTAACGTTTTTCTCAGCAGTAGTAAAAATAAACAGCAAAGAGCATTTTCCTAGTTCTGGTTTGTTGCCTTTCCCTGTTTGTGATTAAAAAATGGTCAGTTGAATCTTTATTTGAAAGCGTGAATTACAATTTCTGGTTAATAAGCTTTCAGTTTTGGAAACAAGTATTCTTTCCTCTCTATAATTCAGAGATTAACAACTGTACTTTTAACTCTTCAGTACAGTGTTGGTCAGCTACAGTTGTGTTAAGTTTAATGTGAGGATGATGGGATGAAAGGAAAGCTGGAATTTATGCTGATGCCACATAAAACAAATTCTCTTAACAGTTGCATTATATCATATGGAGGAGACTTTTCTTGGTGACTGTAAAATAGAGCACTGAGAATTGTCTTTGAGGAAGTAGCAGTGGGTGGTCTGTAGAAGGAACTGTTTTTAAATGGTTTTCATAAAATGAGCTTGCGGGAACTGCTTTTCTAAATCTTGCTTAGGAAGATACTATTGAGTCCACTGAGAGTAACTCAATTCCTGGTTGTGTTTTGTTGCATGATCTCTTTAATGTAAACAACAAGCGTTTTAAAGGGGTGGCATAGTATTGCTATACTAGAACTGTTTTGTGTATTTCATATCTGTATTTACCTCAGCTGACTTGGCTTGTGCTCTTGTGTACTCATTTAGAGGAAGGGTGCTATGCCTTAGAGCAGGTCTGTTAGAAACTTGATGCTGCGGTGAGGCTTGGTGTTCCTCTGTTGTAAAGTATTGTTTATTTCTCTTGCCTTGGGTATTTATCTGCCTGTAAAGAATCAATTGAAGAAAGGATCCTTTGTCTCTAACCTTTTTGAAAGCTAAGGGCATTGTAATTAGTTACTGTTGTTGAAGGAAGACATTGCCTAGGAATGTAACGTTTGGTTGTTTCCCTTGTCTTTACCAGCTTCTTTTTGTTATCATATTAAGTCTAATTGGTCCTTAAACGAGTACTTAGATGCTAAATCTTCTTCAATTGCACTGCATTCTCTTAGTGCTGTAACATCGCTTAGCCCTGTATTTGGCTTCTGGCGTTTTCTAGACTTTGAATAAAAAAGGGACTTCATTTGTATAGCATAGGAAACTGCAAAGCAGCTGAATTAACTTATGTTTTTCAAGACATTCAGCATAAGTGGAGAGCATGTATTTAAGCATAGAATGATTGTGCTGTGTTGTATTGGATTGAGGGGGGAGGGAAGAGAAAGGAGATGGAGGGACTTGTCCTACCCATATATCTTTCCAGAATTTAGAATAGTTTCATTTTGGTCCAAATCAAACTTTGGAAAGTTCTGTAGCATTTTGTTTTCATTTCCTATTCTGTTCATAACTCAGAAGCTATCAGTTGGTGGCAGCGTTCTTTTGGAGTAGTGATGAGAGATTGCTTAAGTTTGTTGTATGATGATGTTGTGATTTTAATTCCTAGTAATACAATATGAGGGGTTGTGTCATATGAATAAATTTAGAGTCTTTCAACTCTGTGATTGTCTTTGACACCTTTCATTGAATGCTTCATTACCATTGCAGATGAAAACGTTCCCTGTTGGCAGTCGGGCTGCATGGCATAATTTAACATGTGATTAAAGTCTTCAGGATCGTTACAACTTAACTCAGTATAAATCAAACAATTAGTCTTTTAAAAATGTGTGCTGTGAGTGGAGTTGTCATGGTTAAGGTTGTTCTTCCTTTTCTCAGTGCAGATGAGAATTTCATTTTGAATGTTGTAAATAGTGCAAATGGTCCCATAGGAAATGCTGCTCTGGATGCTGCGTAACTCTAGTAACAAATATGAAGAGCTGTTTTACAGAGTTGTAGAATTTTGTACTTTGCCATTTTTTTTTTTTTTTAGAAAGGAAAACAAAATGTTTTAATAGAAATTGTTATGACCTCTGGAGGAATAATAATTTAAAAAAAACTCAAACCAACAGCATTGGAATAATCCAGATTATTTTCTGAGAGTACTCAGCTGTGCTCCTTCTGTGGGACTGGAGAAGAACAAACAGTGCATCAAGCAATGTAACCACTAGAAACTTTCTTACAAGCTGGGAAATTGTGGTGTCTTGACATAAGGCCGAGTTTGGTATGTCAGATTATATTTTTCTTTCCTAAATTAGATCTAAAGGACTTCAGAAGCGCAGTAGGAGCTGAGAGATTCTGCTTTATAGATGTGATCTGCAGTGGGTCACTGCATGCTAATGTCACATCTTTGTGTGAGGCAGTAGCCTCTGAACTTGAGAAAACAAAACAAAAACCCCTATGTCATGTGTGGGAATGTATCACTGTGTAATCACTTCCAGCTTTGCTTTGAGCAAGAAAATTCTGCTGGTGAACCAGCCTTGCAGGGTACTCTAGGCTGTACGATGGCTTAGTTTAATACGGTAATTGTAAGCTCAAGTAGTCTGATTGCTGCTGCATAAGGAGTGGAGTTGTTCATGCGCTGAGGGCAAAGTGGGAGCCGGCCACTGAAATTTGCAAAAGGTTTAAGATAACTGATGGAAAACTAGATGTGGTGGTTGATGCTTCCGTCCTGATGCTGTTCCAGCATGTTGAAGAGTTCCCTTCAAAATTTCCTTGTGTGCAGCCTTTGTGCTGCACGTTACTGATAATTAATGCATTTTTGTACTTGAGTGCAGACTTCAAAATGCGTTCCTGAGAAATCTTATAGGAAAAAGTGCAACTTTGTATGTAAAGGCACTTTTATACTGAAGAAGTTGGTATTTCTATAAATAAGTACAACATCAAAGGAAACCGTTTCAGTAAAAAGTGAACATGACAAGCATGAGACTGAAATAACTTCTGGCAGTGCAATTGTAGAAAATTTCTGATTTCGCCTTCGTAGTTGTGAAAATATTCAGAATGTTGGTTGCTCATGACTGAAATTGTTGTGGGACAGATTGCTCCAGAACAGCAAGTAAGGTGAAGTTGGTTTGACTGAGTAGTGGTGAAGCCTTCAGTCTAGTTACTGCCAGGCGTTGCCTCTTCTGGTCACTGTGCTCAGGTAGTTATCTTCTTTTGCTGTATTTGATTGTCTTGCTGTCTTGTTTCATGACTTGAAGTATATTGTGGGAGTTCAGATTTCATGTCCCATGGAAAAAATAAAATAAAAAAACAGGGATTCCTAGTCTTATTGCCATTTCTTATGCTGTTTTTCAAGAGATTATCTTATTTTTTTTTTTCAGAAAAAAAATATGTCCAAAAGGACTTAGCTCTGTGAACTTCAGAGGATTTTTTTTTTTTTTTTTGATTGTTTTTTGTTTAGCACTTTTGATCTATCTGGGGCATCTTAAACAAAAGAATGGTGTAAGTCAATGTGAGCAAACCAGCTCTTTAATAGCTCCTCCTTCTTTGAAATATAGGGCCACTTTTTTTCTTAAAGGATCCTTAATGACTCTTAGTACTTCTTTACATGATTTACCTTTACATGATTATTTAATGTTGCTCTTTTAAATGAATTATTTTCATAATTCTTTTAAAGGTGTTTGTCACGTTGGATTGGGGCTCCTCTCAAGGAAAGTATAAGGGAAATGCAGTTAACATGTTTGTACGTTTAGCTGATCTATATATTTAAGCTAATAGGTTCTTTCTCTTTGTTTAGCTTAGAGCAATAAATGTTGATCTCCAGACTGATGCTGCTCTGCAAGTGGATATCTCAGATGCACTCAGTGAGAGGGACAAAGTGAAGTTCACTGTCCATACAAAGGTAGAAGCCTGGGTTTGTGCATTGAGCATTTTCTTAATTATAAAAAAGAAAACTACTTAAACTGTTTTGGAAGCAACTGTAAAATATTCCAAAGGAGATGAGAGAACAGCATTATCTCATGTTTAAGAGACCATGTAGTAATGATGCTCAGAGAAACGATGACAAAAAATGGAAGTTAAAAATAAAAGTATGGAATAAAGTAACATTCTTTTTTTGCACTGGTGTGTTATCATATGATTTCTATGCCTATTAATCAGCCTATTTGTAGGTAGAATCTTTGATAAACCTCAGTATTTTTCATAGTAGTTTTTTTACTTAGACTAGCCATGGTTTCAAATTCTAAAAATACATTTCATAATGGAATTGTATTCAAGAGTCATTTTTAGTTACAGCTTGTATTGACTTCTTTTTGAAAACTTGTTGGTTTATTGAGTGCAGAATCACAGAATAGTTGAGATTGAAGATGATCTCTTGAGATCACTTAGTCCTTTCTCCTCTCCCTACTTCCACCATCAAATGAGAGTGAAGCAGAGCAGGTCTCTTAAGGTTTGTCCAGTTGAATTTTGAATATCTTCAATGGCGAAGACTGCACAGTTTCTCGGGCCAAACCATTCCAATTGTTTGATGCACTAATTGAGATGGGAGTAATTACTGCTGTATGAATTTTTGGTAAGATGCTTATCTTGATGCTTGAGTTGTTACTATTATTATTTTACAGGGATATACTTCGATATTTTTTTTCAGGATTCTTTTAATATAGTAATGAAAAACTGTTCTCTGTTGTTGTTTCATAACTCTTCCTTCTTTCCCCTTTCCAGAGCTCCTTACCAAATTTCAAACAAAGTGAATTTTCCGTTGTTCGGCAACATGAAGAGTTCATTTGGCTTCATGATTCCTTTGTGGAGAATGAGGATTATGCTGGCTATATTGTAAGTAAGACAGTTCCTTTGTTTTACGTGTGTTGGTTTCTGTGGGCATGAGGAGTACTCAAGGCTGCTTTTACATCTGATGGAAACAGCAGGTGTTTGTTCCTACTAAAACAAGATCAGATGCTTTACTACTTCATTTTATACAATTACACAAAATTTATGTTTAAAGCAAATTTGGAGGAAAATCACTATGGTTGTCTTTTAATACTAAGGAGTGAGTAGCTTAATCTATATCCTAGCATATTTTTGCTCTACAGTATTGAAGTGTGGGAGACTGTATAACTTGGTAATATTGTTTTTGTAAGCTAATGTTTAACTTAGCTGAGAGCTTCGTGTTGCCTTTGTTTTATCTGCAATGGCAGAGTGCAGTAACTGAGCACTAGTAATTAGGCTTTTTCAGTTTCCATTTTGAAGATTAGAATGACTTTACCATAAAACAGTTTGAGGGGGGAAAAAAAACGAAATCCCCTCCAAAAACAATCTAGAAATACAGAGCACATTAATAAGTAAGTTAACAACTTTAGCATGTTTTGTTGTTTATTTTATGTGTCCAAGGAAGATATGTCCTCAAAGTAGTCACCTTATGATGGGATGCCTCTTCATACTTTAATTACGGATAGAAATACTTACTGTCCTGGTGTGAAAGTTAGGTATTTGTGTTTGGGTGAGATTACCCATTGATTCAGTGTGTATTTTTAATGTGTATTTCTAATTCACTAATGATTACAATTATGATAATCTGTGAAGTCATACTATTCTTGAGCTAATCTTTTTTAGTAAGAGGTGTTGGGGGTGAGTGGACTTTGATCTCTAGCAACTAGTTTTCAACAGTTTTCTGAGTAAATTCTGGATTTTACTAGTTCTGTAATTCATTCATGTAATGCAAAAATATCAGTGAACTTAAATTTGAGCACATTTTAGCTTTATTTGTTCTATTTCTCTTTATTCATAGCAATTCAGGATCAGTTTGCAGCATTTTTTCTTTCAATACTGTTATGACAATAACCTGGGGACTTGTTTGTTATGTGCTTTGTTATTTCAACAGATGTATCTTTAATGTCAGCAGTGCCACAAGAAAAAACTGGTTCCTGCAAGCAGCACAGAATGTGGTTGTTTTTTTTTTTTTAATTTAATAATTTTGAGAGTTATAACTGGTGTGAAAGAGACTGTAGAATTCTTTCTTTCTTTCTTTCTTTCTTTCAAGAAGAAACAATCCATACCAAATAAACCAAAACTGATGATAAAAGGAAATACAGAACAGTCTGAGCGCAGCCATCTGCAGCCCAAAACTGCACCCTGCATTCGATGCTTTGGTCTTTTCTTTTTTTTAATTCCTTGCATTGGGAAAGCTAGGTATTGCTTGAATTCTGTTGTAATTAAACTACAAAAGCCATTTAGTTAGCTCTTGAGTAATCTTCAAGGACATTTGGTGAAAGTTGGCACGCTAATTCCAGATACCTAACTCATTCATGAGAGGATTTATCCGTAAATGCCTTAATAAATGACAAAAGAGAGAGCCATATATTAAAAAGCTGCAGGAACCTTCTCAGGCAAATAGTATCCAGTCAGTAATGGAACAAAAGTTGAACGAATTTAAAAAAGTTACTTGTTTCTAGATTCCACCAGCACCACCCAGGCCTGACTTTGATGCCTCAAGGGAAAAGTTGCAGAAGCTCGGAGAAGGAGAAGGATCGATGACTAAAGAAGAATTCACCAAGATGAAACAAGAACTGGAGGCGTATGTAGACTTGATCACTACCTTTTTTTTTCCCTTCAAATTTTAGTGCTGTTGGCTGTCCCATGTTTCTGATTTCACTGCAGTGGTTCTCTGTGAGATAAAAGCTTGAAAATCAAGTTGCTACATAACCAAGGTTATCTTAGTGATCATGATCAGAGCCATTAGGAAAATTGTAGAAATCACTGCTTAGAAATTATGACTATTTCACGGACAAGCTTCTGAAACGGGAAGACAGTCAGCTTGTTCTTGAGAATTCTTTTATAAGGAAAAGAGAAACAACAAACTAGTTAGATCCCTTTCTTCACAGAGCACTTGGAAAGGGAGGAGGTAGCCCGCGTCTTTTTTATTTCTGGTGTTCCCCATTCATTCCCCAACAAACAATAAGTTCTGTGCATATAGTAATTGAACTAGGGATTTTTGCGTGTGGTTGGTATTGTAAACGTAGATACCAACCTTCTGTTCCCTAAGAAATACAGGAAGCAATTACTAGAAAATCTTTTTTTCTTGAAATTTTTTTTTTTTTTTTTGCACAATGAGAGTATACTTCCTGAAAACAGCATCTTCACATACTGCCAATTTAGCGTGTATTGAAACATTTGAACTTAGTCGTCTTGTTCTATGTTGAGTTACGCAGTAAAGTTTCTCCTGGCTCCTTCTACTTTCCTTGTCATGCACTCACTTCTTTGATCTTTTTTCCTGTCATTGGTTTCAGTTTTCAAGTGTATATTTACACTGCTTCTAGACTAATTCTATCAAGAGCTCTGAATTGGCAAGAGAAGTACATAGAACTCTTAGAACTGATGTTTTCTCTCCAAATGCCAGCAGCTGTGAGCAAATATCTTAAAACTCCATGTTAGTGTTGCATACCACATAATTTATAGCAGAGTAGATATACACTTCATATACAGAGAACTGGAAATTAGTAAAACACTACATTTTAAAGTATCTGGTTTTCCAGCGGCCCTGATCATGATTCTCTTGTGGTCTGGTTAGGGGTTGGATAACACAGAAAACTTTGAGTTTCTTCTACTGCCACCTCCATCCTCTGCATCCTCCTTTTTTGTCTTCACTGAATGACTACTACTCTCACTGAGATCAAACATCTCCCAACACTGGCCCTGCTGGTTTGCTGGTATGTAAATCTTAACCTCCTCACACATAGTGGAAGCAAAAGTGTTATCATTTCACTGTTTTCCCTCAGAATGGGGAAAAGGGCCCCTTCCTTGTTTCTAGAGAAGTTGCATCTTACTGATTGAATTTGCAGAGCAAGAAGAATTTTAGAAAACTTGTATTAATAAAAATGCCATCCTCTTAATTAAATCACAAATGAGTATTTCCTTGAGTTGGTTGATCTGAGCAACTACATAACTGTAAAGGTTAAATGTGATTGTTTTGGTTGTACTTACCAAAGGCACTTAATTTCACTTTTAGAACCACAGTGAAGCAAGACATCCATGTAAGAATCTGCCTAAAAAAAAGGCTAAATACTTCATCATGGAATAAGAGGCTGCTATTTAAAGAGCTAACCAAATGATTTGAATGTTTAAGTAAGGAAGGAGGGTGCAAATAGGCAAGGGGATGGAGATGGGGAGGAAAGAAATTATGCGTCTGCTATCTACTAACTGATGTATCTCAATTTCTTGACTTCTGTGAAGGCAGTGAAAAGGCACAATTGAAACTACATTTGCAGCAAACCTATCTGTGTTAGTCTTAAAAGTTAGATTGTATTTGAGTCTTCTTTAAAAATCTGTCAGTAATATGTTAGGGCTTCAAATTTCCCCCTCATATTAACATTATACTATTTGTTTTTATATGTGTGTCTTTTATATATATAAATATATGAAAGTATCAGAATGATAATCTCTACTACTTAAATTTTGTGTCCTTACTGAGGATCTCTTAAAGCTTCTCATTGGGCTTACCTCAAATTTTATTGCTTCAAGTGAAATTCTTAGTCTCTCTTATTTTTTGTTTTCAGCGAATATTTGGCAATATTCAAGAAGACGGTTGCAATGCATGAAGTGTTCTTGTGTCGTGTGGCTGCACATCCTATTTTGAGAAAGGATTTAAATTTCCATGTCTTCTTGGAATATAATCAGGACGTGAGTATTGAAGACTAGATTGCTGGCAAGAAAAATCAAGATGTACTTTTATGGTGGTGTGGAAAATTGATTAAGAAAGCGTTACCTCCTGGAGCAAATTGCATCAGTTCCTTGACGTATTTGTATTTTAAGTTGCAAATTCATTAATGTCTGTAGGAGTTAATTCTGCTGCTGCCTGGGCAACCAAATACTCTAGTGTCAAAATAAAAAATATTAGTGGGAATCTATTATGTTTTGGATTAAAAAGATTAGCTTTTGGTGGTGATTTCACATGGTGTTACAATTGTCTGTTCCTTGACTGAAACTTGGGATGGGGTGTGGAGTTGGTGGAAAAACAAAAACAAAACAACAACAAAAACAAACAAAAAACACAAAAAAACACATCATAAATTTTTCAGAATTTAGAACAATGGTTTGAATTCTATTGCAAAAGAATTTACAAAACCAGAGGATTTCTCCTGAAGCATTATGATAAAGAAAGCTCCTCCTTCTCTCTTTTTTTTTTTTTTCTTTAAATAATGTCGGTGAAACTTTAAATTTTTTCTGGAGATGTAGATTCTGTGGCTATCCATAGAATCTTGTGTTATTTTATATATTGAGTTATGCTATATGCTGAGTTACTATGCGAGTTGATTGAAAGAAATCTGTCTGAGTTCATAGTAGCTGCTTGGTGTTAGAGTTGGTGGTTGCTCATTCTGCAAATGTATTTTAGTTGCTTTTTTAAAATTGCAGAAATAGAAATCTTGACAAATATTGGTTTGACTGAATATGTACTTACCTTCAAGATGTGTTACAGAGAATCCTCTTGCTGTTTGACTTAGAAATACAGCTTTTTAAGGAACCCATCTTTCTTAAACTTGATAAACTTAGATAGGAAGAAAAAGCGTGAATAGACTGAAACCAACATTATCTTCAGTGCAGTGAGGGATTAATGCTTCTTGTTTCTCAAAGTGAGAGACTTGTCATTCTACACTCAGAAGAGCAAAATCTGGTAATAGAAGTTTAACTCACGTTATACTATGCATGATAAGTACTGTATTATTGATAAGTGACACGTGTGTCGTTAATTTGATGTCATATATATTTGCTAGAATATTGCTGAATTTTCTTTTATTTAATGGAAGAATATGATAGGTATAAAGGACAGTAGTAAATCAGAGTAGTCTGATTCTGGGTGCATGGTGCTCTATTTCCTTTAATGCAGAGCTCAGTTAAGTAGAGAGTACGAAAGCTGGTTTAGAAGCAGCAAGCTTTGGTATGTCTTTATATATCTAGAATTAAAAAAAAAAAAAAAGCTAATATTGCCTCCAGCAGAAGAAGTAACTTGATATATGAATTTGTTTTTTCAGTTGAGTGTTCGTGGGAAAAATAAGAAAGAGAAACTGGAAGACTTCTTTAAAAATATGGTGAAATCAGCTGATGGTGTCATTGTTTCAGGAGTAAAGGTAGTTGCTGCTGAATGTATCAAGATTAGAAATGTATTAACATTGTCTTTCTCTTTCAACATTTCCTAATGTTGAAATAATGTTTTTATAACTAAAATTCTGCAGAAGCTGTTTTTTGGTCTTTTTTTTTTCTTTTTTCTGATATTAACTTTCCATTTGCAAATTAATGGAAGCTGAAGTTCCTAGTAATAAAATCTTGAATTTCAAATTTTCTGGACAGAGGGTATAACACTGGATTAATTATGAGATGGAGAAAAAATATAAAGTTAAAATAACCCGCAGTGGTTACTCAAAAAGCACATTGTTCAAAGCTTGTATTGTAGTCTATTAGGTCTTATTGAGTATCCATGCTATTTTAAAGTTCTACTTTAAGCCACATATCTTAAAAGGTAATATAGTAACAATTTAAATTTACCTACATTTGCAACCTTAAAAGAAATCTGCCATAAAGGTCAGTGCTGCAAGTTTGTATTGTCTGTATTGTTACCATTTCATTTGCACCATTGAGTTATCTTACTATTCCTCCTGCCTGTTTCTTGGTTAGTGTCCTTGATTAGGTGCTTGACATTTATCCTGTATTTCTATCAACAAAGTGATCGGTAGTAGTGAACTGATTTTCTTCGCTTCTGGTTTAGTTACTTAGACCTTTGAAATGGTTGTTACAAATTTGTAATAAAACATGAGATCATGATTAAATAAGTAAGGAGGAAAACAGTTTACGTGAACAGTAACAGCAGTATATCCGCATTCTCTCAGCGCGATTTGCACAATACAGAATGAGTGAAATCTGAGGTTTTTTTAAATAGTCTTTTTTTTTTTCTTCCAGGATGTGGATGATTTCTTTGAACATGAAAGGACATTCCTTGTAGAATACCACAACCGAGTCAAAGATGCTTCTGCCAAATCTGATAAAATGACAAGATCACATAAAAGTGAGTTATTTTTTCAGAAGGAGAGCTGTTCTAGAATACACAGAAATGATTTGTGAGGAGCAATAGTTTTTACTTTTTAACAAGAAAAGATGAATTTCTCAAAGTGTAGTCTTCTGGTAATGAAAAACAAAGTTTAATATTGTTTTAAAATTTAACCTTTGCTATAGTAGTCTGGATGGAGTATGAACAGCATGTTGCAGTGCTGAAGGTCTCTTCAGTCCCTTTGGAGAGAAACAAAACTTTATGTACTTTTCTTTTTTTTGAAGACTGATTTTTAGACTTTAAATTGTGAAGTCAGTAATAGAGCATTACTAATGATTTTACTCCTAATGAAGTTGCTCTCTATTAGTTAGCTTGTGGTTATCAGAGTGCAGTTTCTTAGCACACTAGGAATTGCATTGACTTACTGAGTAACAAACTCCTGTTTGGGCTGTTAGTTATAGTCTGGGAGATCTGATTTCCATTTTTCAGCCTTCTAGACTGGGGATTGGAATTTGTATTCAGTAGCTTGGTTTGCGAGACCCCTTTTGTTGCTGAGGTGAGATTCTGCAATTAGTTGCTGTTGATTTTTCTTCCAAAGCTGAATGCTAGCTAATGTCATTTTTTGAAGCTGTAGATAATTTTCTCAATTGCTTTATGCCTATTTGAGAAAATAGGAAACCTTTGCTTTAGGAAAATATAATTGTGTTTTGAGAAAACTATGACAAGCTTGACTTTCATTACCCTTGATTTCAGTTTTTCAGACTCAAACCCTATATGTCTAATGGCAACTTCTATGAAACACCAGTGGGAATTCCCATAACTTGAGAAGCTTATTTTGGAAATGGGCAATCTGTAATTCATTGATCTACAGAGAACTTCAAAGCTAACAGTGCAAATGTCTTCCTATTTCCAATGTATTTGATGTTTAGGTGTGAAATATAGTTGACATTAATTATCCATAATTAACAGATAATTAACCTATAATAACCTTAAACCCTTCTTCACTGTGACCAGCAATGCTAATTAGCTTGGGATATATGGAGAAATAAATTGGATAGATGGTGACCCACTCAATCTTCTGAACAAAAGTCCAAGCTTAATGATGAGAATTGCTTCTGAAGAAACAAGAAAATTAATTCATATGTTTAGGGTAATTCATCTAGAAACTTTGCAAATGTAAGCATTTCTGTGAACAACAAAAACAAGAAACAAATATAGTTTCCTATTCAGTGGTTGGATCTGTTGAGTTCACACTAGAAGTTTTTAAAGGAGCAATCTGTGTGTAGCAGTATCTCACTAGTCAGATTAGGCAGCCTTCTTCACAAACTCTGCTTCTGATTTTATTGTTTAAAATGTTTTAACTCCAGTTCCTCTTCAACTAGTAACTAATTATTGATGCGTAAGAGTTTCCTGAAAATTAAACACATGCAAGAAAAGATGTGTATATAGCACTGTATTTTGGTAGTTCACAGTTGATATGCAGTGTAATACCCTGAAGCACATGGATTTTTCTTTTTTTTTCTTTTTTTTAAATAGTTCTGGACTTCAAATTTAACTCTGAACATCAACTGTTGATTCTGTAAGTTTTCTAAATGAAACTTAACAGTGTTGCACAATAAACATACTCAGCAGGTGCTAGTTGTAATTTATCTAGGGATATTCAATACAGTCTTTGCAGTTTGGTAAGAGAGCCATGTTTGTTGTGTGAAGTTCATAATACATGACATAAATTAAATTTTATTTCTGTTTTTGTATTAAAGCATGCTCCTTGTAGGAGGAAAAACAAAACAAAAGCCAGAACTCTTGAAGAAATAAAGGAACTTGATTTCCAGAAAGGAGAGAAATTAAATAGTAAAACTACTGCTTGCTTTTTTCCTAGATGTGGCGGATGACTATAATAGAATTGGTTCTTCATTATATGCATTAGGAACACAGGACTCCACAGATATATGCAAGTAAGATTTTGTTAATAGCTTACGGGGGAATTTGCTAAATAGCAGTCTTAATGATGACCTGCTGAGTTTGGTAGCACTATTGTTATGAGAAGAACAGAGTTTATTGCAGATGTATCCTGTTAAGGGATTTTCTTCACTAGCATTTATGTTCTGTAATGTGAGACTGCTTTAATATTACTGCTTTAATAATTTCCTGGGAAAAATGCTATTGTTTTCTGTAGTTTGTAGACAATGATACCTCACAGAACAGACAAAGCCTCAACTCTCACTTTTTAAAAAAGTTTTTAAAGTGCTTCAGTGAATGCAGCAAGGGTGTATTGCAGGTCTGAGAGTACAGATTTCTTGGACGTTCCTGTAACAGCATCTTGAAAGATAACCTTGCTGTTCTGGCAACTTATTACTGCCTTTAGGAAAGTAAAGGAATGGGAATTCCGAAAGCTTTGAAAATAGCAGGAGGTTTCTATGTACAGATATATTTTTTCACTCTTTCAGTGGTTTGCTTGAATGTGAACTGTTTGATGTATCTGAAAGTAAAAATTAACTAGCTAAAGATGTTTGTTAATGCTTGCAAACATTTACTAGTGTTACAATAGATAGGTGTGTAAGAACGGTGACTTTTTGTCATTTTACCTGATTTATAATTATATATTTCCAAATGTTTTGGTACCTTACAGATTACTGTAATGATTATAAACAATTACTTTGTTTATAATAATGAGATTTGATGTAGTCTGTTAGAGTCTGTCAGGATTCGCATCTGTCCCCTGTCAAAATGAAACTACTGTAATTCAGTCCACTGTTGTGAAACGTGTGTATCATCTCCTGTGATGAAGGTGTGCTGCTTTTCAAGCTTACTGAATTCCAAGTAGGGCATGCATTGTGTTTACTGTTTAGAGAAAAGTTATGAAGGAGAACTGGTAACTGTGTAGGACTGTTAACCAGGATGGTGGTAATTTAGGTTTAATTTCTAGAAGTTAAAGGATCTCTGAGGAGCTGTTAAATTATTCTGCAGTAAAATCCATCCCTACATTACACTTTCTCTCTTTACCTTTTCTGAAGTTGTACAATTCCTAAATGTTTGAAGTACTGCAGTTTGAAACTCCTAATGTTCTTTAGATTCTGTAAATGACAATTATAAGCAGTGCATTTACAGTCTTTGTTGCCATACCCAGACGTATTTTGATTTATAGAAAGCTGATTAGACTGTTCAATAATGTAATATAAGCTCTTTCCTTCCTACAGGTTCTTTCTGAAGGTATCGGAATTATTTGATAAAACAAGGGTATGTATCTTGAAATCTTAGTAGATATATTCTTTGTATCCATCATTGAAGTACCAGGATATCTGGCGTTAATTATGCATTAGGATGGAGATGTTTTATGGATACTGTGATATTGAATATGTAAGCAGCATGCATTCAGGAATGAAAAACCATAAATTTTTCAGTCATCTGTTTGTAAAATGATTGATCCTTAGGAGTACTTGGTCTACTAAATTTTTGGCAGTCTTCTCTTCTGTGTAATAAGTAAGTAAAGGCGCTGTGCCTCTGAAATGCTTAGACTGCTTTTCATACTTCATGTTGATTACCATAGAACTTATTAAGGAAAAAAAAGAAATGTAACCCTTAATAATCCTTAATTAAAAAAAAAAAAAGAAGTGGTCGTGTTGCTTGTTTCTGAAGTTAAGACCTGTTTCTACACATGCATGTCACAAATTAGGAAATGTTTTGAATGAGAAGTGTTATTTTCCTAAACAGAAACATTGTATTTAAGTAGGTACTTTGAAGGAAATGGCAATTCTGAGATAACTTGCTTTGACCTCAAATGTTAGGTTTTAGAATTTTTTAACTTAAGATTTTAAAAATGCATTTACACACTCTTAAGTTCATAGAAATGTCTGTTTTAAGTGCAGTAATGCAAAATGCAAATTTTACAGAGAAGTATTTTGAACCATTTAATGCAGTTCAGTTACACAGTTGCTCTACTAAAGTAGAGCCTTAAAATTTGTTTTCATTTGATCTTGAAGACTACACTTGTACAAGTCTTCATACCAGATAAGTTTTTGTTTCTCTTTTATATTTTTTTCCTAGTATATAATAATAATAATAGGAATTGGGGAAAAAAGCTTTTTTTATTTAAAATAGAAAGCCAGTTGTCACATTTTAATAGAAAAGACTAATACAGTTTCCCTTTTTGCATGTTTAAGTATTGTGTCACAAATGCATGATTAACTTTTGAAGAAGACAGTGTCTTGCACTGTTGCATAGTTCATACTGTATTTACATCATACAAATGTATGTCTGATATTTGGATGTTTAAATCAATGTTTTTACTTACTGTTTTTTTTTCCCCAGAAAATAGAGGCCCGGGTATCTGCTGATGAAGATCTTAAACTTTCTGATCTTCTGAAATACTACTTAAGGGAATCTCAAGCTGCTAAGGTAAACTTATGTTTTGTGTTTGGTGGATTGGATTGGTGTCCCTTTTTTTTTTTCTTTTTTTTTTTTTTTAATAAAGGGTGGGTGGTGGGAGAAATAGACTGCTTTTTTTTAAATGGAGAAGTTGAAATAATACCACCTCCAGCCTTCTATTTTTCCTTCAACTGTGCAAATTTTATCTCTGTTTTACATAAGAAATAGCAGTGCAGTTGTTTGGGCTGTATGAACCACTTGTCAAGGCTAAAACGTGCAGTGTAATTAAAAACGGTAGAAGAGCACTTGATAAATTTGTCAAGCTGTAGACTGCAAGCAGATTTGTTTTGTTCCTTTTAATATTGAAGATAAATACTCCGGTTCTCTGCAAGCGCTGATACAAAAATGTGGGCAGATTGGATATTCTGTACCTAAAAAGACTCATTTTTATTGCTGCTTGATATAATTAAATTATATATTTAATATATAATTAAAATTATATTAAATTATATATTTTTATATATTAAATTTATATATTAAAAAGTAGAATATGGAAGCGTTTGGCAGAAAGTGTCTGTATTTAGATCACACCAATATCTGCTGCACAAAAAAAAAATAGTGCTATTTCTTAAGCCCTGTTTATATTTAGACTACAGATCAGAAATACAGTTTGTTTCTAATCTAAGAAGCTGTTAAATTTCCCATGATTGCCTTCTCTTAGACTTTTTGCAGTATCATCTAAGCCATCTGGTGCTAGCTTCTGTCAGACAAGATGCAGACCAAACAGTATTAAATTGCATGCCTGTTCCAGCATGGACATTTCTGTGACTTGCAGGATGCAATGCAATGAATGAAAATAATTTAGTTAGATATACGAGATGAAAGGTTAATTTTAATCTAATTTTCTTTATCACTTTGTATATGCTAAAATGTTTGAGTACATTAGTGTAAGTTCTGTATGGCCTTTATCCTTTATAGGATCTCCTGTATAGAAGATCTAGGTCACTAGTGGATTATGAAAATGCTAATAAGGCATTGGATAAAGCAAGAGCAAAAAACAAAGATGTGCTGCAAGCTGAAACTACTCAGCAGATATGCTGTCAGAAATTTGAGAAAATATCTGAATCGGCAAAACAAGGTATTTGGGTGGCTTTTGGTTCTGTGTTACTACTTGAAAAATAATGGAATTTAAGTTAATGTTAATGAGATTAAGATTTTGTTCTGCATTTCCTAAGCAAAAATGTTGTTTTTTTAACTAGTATTTGCTTATTTTGGACAGTTCAAATGATATTTTCCTTCGGTTCTGATAGCTTCATTAGTCAGTAATATCAATGTTGTAATTGCTTGGCAAAGTCTCTAGGTGCAGATTATCTTTTATCCCTCTCTTATTTGCATAGACTAAGATATAAAAGGGCAATTGCTGTCAGTAAAGGCAAGCCTGATATTTTTTGAGTACTGTTAAAATTCACCTTTTGGTTTTATGCAGTCTGTTGCAACAATGATAGTAAATAAGGGAGGGTTTATGAAATGAGGTATTACTGAAGATGCAGTTACAGTAATTATGAAGGAAGGCAGTATTTTTTACATGTTGGCCTCTTTCCTGGAACTGTACTGCTTTTCAGGCTTAGATTGTTGTGGATAAGTAGTAATCTGACTCATCTGGGACAGATTCATACAAGGTTCTTCTGTCTTCATCAGTTAAAGGAACTGTTTGACCCTGTAAATCTGGCTAATTATTCTTCTAGATGAGACATCACTAAGCTCTTTCTTCTTGAAGGAAAGTCGAGGCACTAGCAATAATACTGTTAATGAATCCAATCTTATTTTATACAGAATTGATAGACTTCAAGACAAGAAGAGTTGCAGCATTCCGAAAAAATTTAGTGGAACTAGCAGAACTGGAATTAAAGCATGCTAAGGTAATTATGGTCCTTTTTTGGCCTTTATTTCAACTGGCTTTAAGCATTAAATGCTTGAATAACCAAAACGCCTGCATTAGTTTTGTGTGATACACACTCCTACGTCCAGGGAGAGGAGTCTGATGATAAGCATCTTCCAGAAATGTAACCTTTCCACAGCTTTTTTAAATAATAAGAATAATATCAGTAAAACATATCTGAGGGCCTGGTATGAATTGTCTTTAGAAAACTTATGCCCTTAAAGACAGTGGTGACTGTGGTTTTATGTTTCGCTAACTCTTTGGTATTTATTGCTTTAGCATGAGTACCTGCCAGTTTTTAAAATCTCATCTCATGATATTTTTTTTTTTTTTTGTGAGATAGGAAGTGTTTTTTCCTGTTATCCAGATGCTGGGGACTTGATAAGTAGGACAGACTTAAGCATGAGATCATACGAGACTTGTATGAAGTCAAGAACTAAAGTCAGATCAGTTCTGTGTGTATACTTTTGGAACTCTTTTTGCCTTCAACTAAGCAATGCTAACAAAAGATTTCATTTAGCAGATGCATAGCATAATGTGTAGGTATACTTTATTAGCAGATAAGACTTTTTAACAGTGGAGCAAGAGAATGTTGAATTAAATTATTATTTTTTAAAAAATTAGTATTTTAGGCCTGTTCTGTGTTTCTTAATAATTTTAAGCTGCTGTAGTTTACATGTGTTCAAGCACATTGTGCAAAAGCTGTGTTTAAACCTACTCAGTATTTTACCATTGGATTTTGGGGCATTCTTTTGTTGTGCTTTCATGTTCAAGAAGGGAGGACTGATGGTCTGAAATTTGGTGAAACTTCTGAAGTATACTTAAAACATTTAGAGCCTTGGCTGCACTTCGTGTTATGACAGGAATTTTAACTGAGCTACCTCCCTCAAAAACAAAAAACAAACCAAAAAACACAAAGATCTTCCCACAAATATAAATATATACTGCCTTTATAAATTCTGATGTAAGAAAAACAAAAACAAAAACACCTTGTTGCTTTACTGATAACAGATGTTTGTTTGGAATTGGCAGAAGAAGAAAGTAAGCAAAATCCACAGCTAAGGGATTTGGTTAAATGTTTTGTCAGAAGTCATTTATTCCCTGCTTCTGTCCCCGCAGTCTACCAATAACTGTAATTTTTAGTGCTCAGGAATTTGAGTTGGTAAGAAGTACTTTTCTGAATGTGAAATTGGAAGACTTTTGAGCTGTGCTGGTGCATGTCAAGTATATAAAATGTTGCAGCTAGAAAGAGCAATTGTGCCTCTGTTGTCCTTCATTTACTATAACTTAAATAAGGTTATTGTTGTGAACTTAAACGTAATGAAAACGAATGGTGTGCCTGTGTGTCAGTAGGCTGTCATACTGAGACTGGAAATGACTGAGAACCTTTTTGTGCTATGTAATAGCCCATGAACTGCATATTATTTCATGTTCCTGCTGAACTGTAAAGAGATAGGCAAAAGATCACTTGTCACACTTCTGCTATAGGTAACAGGCATGCAGTCCAGAAGTACTTCAAGCTGAAAACTAAATCCATTCCATTAATGACTTTGTTACTAGCTAATAATTAAATGTTACAATAATAGAGCCTTTAGGTTTATGAATCCTATACGCTGCAAAGATGGGCCACCAGGTCCACACACATCTCCTGTATATGGAGCTTGTTCATATCACAGAATTCAAGCCAAGTGAAGCAGCTTGTGACTGTCCCCTACACTTATAAACATGAAAGAACAAAAAGCTACTGAAGCTGTAACTGAAATATGTCTTTTGAATAAGTCTGAAAAGGGTTTGGTAGACCTAACAGACCTTCTGTTTTAATGTGGTTAACTGCTTAATGTGGATTGTATAAAAAAACCTTGCTAGAGGCGAGAGCTATGATCTGACCTTTTCAGGCAGAGAAACGAACGTCCTTTTGTGTATCTACCACTGGTCACTTGGTAGGCTTTCAACTGTGAAAAAGTAAGAATTACCCATTCTTCAGTAGTTGTGTGGACAATTTATCAAGGATGTTGATAATTACACAATTACAGCTTCTGATACTGATTAGTTACAGGGTTTTTTTGTTTGTTTGTTTGGAGACATGTTTTCAGGTTAGTTTTTGGAGGATTTTTTTTTTAAAAGGAAGTAGTTTCTCCCATGTTTACAACAGGGCATTCAGAGTGGTTTGTCCTTGCATTTTGCCTGAATCTGATAGGAATTACATTTAGCAGTTAATAATCTATTATTATTTCTTACAGAGAGGTTTCAGAATGGGGAACAAATATAGTACAGCTGTTCAAGAGTGAACAGACGGTGATGTAAAGTGATCTGAGTATAACTGAACGCACAAAACAATGTGAATACTGATATATATTGTTTTCTTCTGCAGAGTATCTCCTGGCTTACCAGTAGTTCACCTGTGCATACTTGGCAGTGGTAGCTTTTTAACTGCTAGCTCTGTAAATTCAATTAGAAATCTGAAAGTCAACCTGGTAGAGTTAGAATTCTTTAAATATCATTTAAAAACTGATGTACAAAATCTCTGTTTGGAAAGAAGGGCAGAAATTGCCTGCGGAGATAAAACTTAGTTAATGTTCTAATAATGCTTTCTGTAGTCTCAGCTTTGAAACTTTGTGGCTAAATCAAGCAGCTAAGCATATAAATCTGTGGGGAGAAGTCTTACACAATGCCCATCTTTGGAAAAAAAACTACAAGCTGAGATGGCTGCTGTGGATAGAAGATTGCAAAGCACTGCTTAACACTTTCTGATAAAATCAGCATTATTTGCGCGTATGAATGCTTCTGTTTTGGGAATGATACTGCAGTGACAGGGTAATGGCAGCTCTGTGTAAAGAATGAAAACTTTACAGCTTTGAACTTTTTTGCGGAGACTGCTCTGCATAGAATAGTTGATATGGCCAAACTAGATCTTCTGTGAGAAACTCGTGGGGAAAAAAAAACAACATGGAAATGGTAGTAGCGCTTATTTTTGAATATCAAGTTCAGTGTCATGACACAGCATTGTTAAAGTCAACAAAAATCTTTTCCTTAAATGTCTTCACATGTACTTAACGTGTATCTGTTTTCCCTTAATGGTGACTGTTGTTGCTGTTTTAAAAAAAGCATTTCTTGTACCTTGAATGTACAAGGAGATGTGGTCATATTTTTCTGTATTTTTACAGGGTAACTTACAGCTGCTGCAGAGCTGCCTGGCAGTGTTAAATGGTGACACATAAGCTACGCTCCGTCCTCCCGCTAACAAGGGCTGCCCTCCTGGATTTTGTTTTCATGACTTTAAGTAGGCATTTATAGTTCCCTGGAGAAATTGTTTGACAAAGTGCACATAAGTGAGCTCTTCCTTTAAAAAAAAAAAAAAAAAAAAAAAAAGTTGAAACAAAGACCTGAAAGTAGCTCAAGACTATACAAAGCAACAGCTTACTTGTTATTCATGCATATTCATGTTTATTTAATCATTATATGCTTTCATTGTTCAGAAACCAAATGCTGTTCTTGTGAAACTAGCCAATATAATTATGTACATGTTATGAATACTATGATACAGCTGCCAATCATTTACTTTTGTAAGTAATTTCTGAAGTTCACCATTTGAAGTACATTATTCAAATGGCTTAACTATGACCATTAGATATTTGACTATTGTTCCTATAATGCATTGTATACACTGTCTTAGCTTTTTCCATTTACTGATATCAAGAAACTTAATCTTTTTTTCAATTGTGAACATTTCTTAGAAGTTTTGAAGAACTTTGTGTAACCTTTATAACTATGATTTAAAAGGAGAAGCAAATACATTAGTATGTTTGCCTTAACTTGTAGACTAATCCAATTATTGTAAAATAAACCATAAAATCAATGATTTTTCTAAAATTATGCAGACATTGTTATCATCTATAAGCTTAATATTTTCTAGTAAATCAGATTAAGTAGATTTTTCTTTGTTCATCCTGTAAAACAGGTACCAGATTGATTTGACATGAAGTACTTACTTGGTAATTTTTCACTTGCATTCTCAGGTTTACCCATTTGCCTCTGTTCATCTGTGACTTCCCTATCGAGCATAGTTTTTTTTTTTTTTTTTTTCCTTACCTTAGTGCTGACTTTGCATTTTCTTTGGCAGAAGTGTTTTTTAAGGGAACTAGCTGGTTTCTTTCCGGAAGGGGAAAATAAACTGGCAGAAGGGTATTCAGTAGAAAAGGTAATGCTGCCCCACTTTTATACAAATGAGAAGCTTTGCTTCAGAAAATAACTAGTAAAGGCATACCCAATAAAGGAATGCCTGAACTGTATCTCCTGCTAACTGGATTTAGAGCTCTGGACGCCTTATGTTGTTTGAATCCACTGTCACTTGTTGAATGCTTTCTCTCTCTCCCTTGAACCACAAGTCCTTTCCAAGAGCTGCTGTTCTCTTGTATAATCTCAGAATGTCATAAAATTAGGCTTTACTTGATTAATCATTCATCAGGGGGATTGCTGCTTTGTATGGGTTTGTAGCCCTGCAGTAGAGCAGCAGAATTCCAGTGAATGGCTTTTTTTTGTTTGTTTGTTTGGAGATGCCAACCAATGTCAGTGGCTGTCTCTGTAATTACACTCTCCGGTACTGCTGCATGGAGGGCTAGGTTTATTTTCAAATAGGGTGACTTGCACAGTGTAGTAAACCACAGCACTGCACATGGAATGGTTTCTAAGACGGAGGTTCCTCAGCTTCACGTGCTCTTTGCATTGAGCGTCTTAGGCATAGCCTCAGACGTGTGGTTATCAGTGCCCAGGGGCTATTAGCAACTCACGTCGTGTATATACTATTTTCTATTAATGGCAACTACACTAATACTGTGCTGTTCATCTTCCAGATAAAAAGGTATAATTCCTAAGGAACTCATCTATAAATAGACTGTAAGGGACAAAAGACTACAATGTATATACAGTTAACACAATTGTAAATATTTTAAGTAGGATTGTGGGAACAGTTTTTAGACTAGTCCTCGTTGTTCAGTGTTAGTAGCTCATTAAATTTTTTTCAAGCCTCTTGCTATTGGGTGTGTCTCTTCAACCTTCAGCCTGACCCTAGCGCGCCGCTGGGGGCAGCACAGCGGGGCGGTGCTCGGTGGAGGGAGGGGGAGCGTACGTTCCCTTCTGGGGGTTGGGCCTGGGCCGTGCTGCTTCCGGCGGAAGTCGCGCAGAGCCCGGAAGTGGCGGGAGCGGGCCGGCAGCGAGGGGCGGGGCGCCGCCATGAGCCGCCTGCGGGAGGAGGACGACCCGTACGTGGTGGAGGAGCCCAGCGACGAGGAGCGAGCGCTCAGCAGGTGCCAGCCGGCTCCCGGGGCGGGCTGGGGGCTGCCGCTTCCTTTCGCTGCAGGTTTTGGTCTGTCTCGTGCTGCCGGTAACGGAGGAGGCCGCTGAGGGTGTGAGGGGTCTGTCCGCCACAAGTCACGGCAGCGATCCCTTGGAGCCCGGGTGTTTGCCTTTGTAATCCCCGACACACCGAACTGCCGAGTGCTGCGCGGAGCCCCCGGAGCCGTGCTGCTGGCGCCTAGCGGCAGGCTGTACTCAGTCAGTTGCTCCTTTGCATTAAAACCAGTCAGAATTTGGTTAATAATAAAATAGCTCGGTGGATTTTGCATAAATACACGGATAAGTGCTCCTCGGTATTTCGACGCAGCTCAGACGGTGGTTGTCCTGACTAGTCAGTGTAGTGAGCTGTTAATAATAATTAGGTGTGTGATGTTTGAATGTTTGTAGCTCTGAAGATGAGGTGGATGTGCTCTTGCACGGCACTCCGGACCAGAAGCGGAAGCTGTTACGGGAATGCCTGACTGGGGAGAGTGAATCTTCCAGTGAAGATGAGTTCCAGAAGGAGATGGAGGCAGAGCTCAACACCACTGTGAGAAACATAGAAGGCAAATGGAAATCACCAGAAATGGGTAAATCAATCTTGACACCTGCTTGCCTCTGAAACTGAGAGTTAAGTGGTGTCCAGTTAAGGAGCTGATGTGTTCTCATAGCTGGGGGGGGGGGGTTGCAGTGGCAATGGAGTACTGTTTGAGACCTGTGGAAAGGTCTTAAAATGGCTCTTCAGTTCCGCAGCAACGGGTACTTGGGTACCTTGAATGCATTTGTTTCATCCATTCTAAGATTTTTGCTTTTGTTGTTTCTGAATCTCTAATTTCCTGTTACACTGTGATTTTTCTTTTTATGGTCAGCCCTCTTTTTTTCCCCAGTGTCTCTGTAACTTCTGTTTTAAGTAATTTTTTGCGTGTGTATTTAGAAGTCTTTCAAGCGGTTTGCAGTCTCTTTGCCCAGTGGCTCAGGTTGCTATCAATGTTTGGAGCATGTTCTTGCTGAAAGGAATGGCATATGGTGGGTTACGATCCTAAGATCCCAAATCGACTGGGGAAAAGAGTCAGGAAAAATATTAATCCCCAAAGTGCTCATAATTATAAATTGCTTCAAGTGGTGAAACTTTGTAAAGGATTTGTCCATTCTGGAGTTTCTATACTGTTTTGGGTGCTGTAGATTGCTCTGGCATTTAAAGAACTTTCGTTCTTTTTACCTAGTACAAAACATCTGGTGAAGTGTTCTTAGTTTTCTGCAGTATTGATGTAGTGCTTGTTTTAATGTAAGAACTTCATTTCCCGTGCAGCAGATTTAATGGTTTTGTGTTAGTGGTCAAACTTGATCTTTAATTCTGTGTTTGCAGTTAACAAAAAGCACTTACAGTACTATGTGCACCCAGTGCAGAGACTTTTGGTGCAGACTGGCTGTGGTAGATGTGATTGGCAATTGATCTGAACCTTTTATGAACTTTCTGTATGAAGTTAGTGCAGAATGTATGAGATGTAGTTGTTTTTTTGTTTTTTCTCATTTAGATTTTATGTTGATCAAAGTTTATGAAACAGTTTGCCACACTTGTATTTCTTCTGTATGACTTTAAAGAAGAAGAGAATAAACTTTCCTTTGTACCATACCTGAGGTTCATCTTGAAGGAATTGAGCAGTTTCACCTGTAAATGAAATAATACAAGTAACGTGGTTGGTCAGGACATGGGAATAAACTGGGAGAGCTGCAACTTAACATGCATAAATAGACTGAGGGGCTCTTGAGTCGGGCAACTTGGAGATGAGGGTTTGTTCTGGGCTATATGCATGTTGTCCTTTTGGTGAGATGTTCTTACCGCTTTTCAATTTCATACAGGTACTTCTTCAAGCACTGGGCAGGCTGGATCTGCTACCACTTCAAAATACTATGATGACATTTACTTTGATTCTGATTCAGAAGATGAAGACAAAACGGGTAAGGGGCTGAGAGAGAAGACAGCATCTTCAGAGTGGTACTGTATCTCAGATCCAGTAGAATCCTCTCAGGGCATCAGAAGCTATTCCCCTTTTGGGGGCAGTTACCAGCCTATGTAGTCTCAACAAAGTTCATGCAACTTTATGATGTATCCCAATGTATGTAAGGTGCTTTAGTCCTTTGGGGTAGTCTATTCAGAGGAGGGGTAAACTAGATATTTACAAGTTAGTTTACATTTATTGCAGGTATTTAAAATGAAAATTGAAAAAATTACTACGTTTTGATCAGCTGAGTAGAGAATCATCATATATCTAACCGATGGAACCTGTGCTTGCCTAAATCTCTACAGTTGTGCAAGATGTCCAGAATAAAAGAAAACATCAGCAACGTCGGATTCTTACCAATGATGAGCTGCTATATGACCCAGAAGAAGACAGTCGAGACCAAGAGTGGGTAGATTCACAGAGGAGGAGGTAAGAGACTGTAAATAATTATAGGATGTTTACCATAAACTGAAAAATTCCAGTAGACATGCTGAACGTATAGAAAAACCCTATACTGTCAAGTTCACTCAGTGCCTTAGAATTTATGGCACGGGGAATTTAAAAACTTGTAAAACTTCTGCATATATATATTGGAAATGGACTCTTTAAAGTGACTTTTAGCATTCTTTAAAGAATGCTAAAACATGCAGTTTTTCAAAATCAAAACTTCCTAGTTTACTAAGCCAGTCTATAGATCTTATAAAAATAACTGTGATGTTGATGAAAAATGTGTAATAGGAACAGTTCAAAACTGCTTTACTTGAGGTTTCTTGGAAGGGTGAAAAGTACTTGTTGCAGCAGAGGAGAGATGTAAGTCTGTTGAAAAGCACATCAGTGTGTGTTACCAACAGAGATTGTTCTTGAGATACCTGTCTTCTCCAGGAAAATGATTATTGGGCACAAATCCACATCAAAAGTATGCACATCTTTGGGTGAAAATCTACACAAATGAAATGGAAAAATATTTGAGTGTGGTTTTTCTCCACTGTGCTTATATTTAGTTGTTGCAGTTAGTGAAAAGTTGTTGAGAAGGAGACA